TTGGTTTCTGCTGGGTTTTTGTTCTTTCTTCTTAATGAATTCCTTGTTATATGTTGCCTGTGTGATTGAATTTCTGGAATCCGTTAAACATGGGTTGAAAATAAGTTTTTCTACTGTTGGTGTAAAAACTGAAACATTTTGGTCACAAGGAAGGTACAAGTTTCCATAGCACCTGGTCATTCAGCAAGCTTCTTTGATAGCCTCCGCTGGTTCTGCTATGTTTGGTCGGTGGTGAAGCTTAAGAGGCAAATGGAGTGTGAAAGATTTTTTCTTTTCTTTTTTTTAGATTTTAACAGTGAATGTCGAAGTAAGTCTTAGTTTGACATTATTTTTCTCTTCATTTCTACCATTTTTCTAGGCGACCAGACATAATTGGGGGGAATTATCATGCCTTTCTCAAATTTCATTACCCAATTTAAGGATTTTTTTAGTCTTAATCTTCATATGAATGATGCTAAAAAGTTGGATGGTGCTCCTAAAGTTGTTTCAGGGATTAGAGCACGCCTTTCGTGTATGTGTAGTGGAAAACATCATAATTATATATAATGGTAGACTTTTAAGTGTATTAACCCTGCTGTAGGGGGATGTTTCATAATCCACATTTTCATTTTGGGATTTCACCATTAAGGAAGTCATTAGTATATTTTGAGGCATGTCTTTACTTTGCAGTCTATACTCTCAATTGCGGATTGCATGGTCCACCCATTCCCCATCATGTCTACTGGACTTGTACTGTCTCACTTCATTTCTGACTATAAGTTTAACATGTGTTTGCAGCATAAACTCTCCCTTTTTTCCCCTGCTTATAAGTTATAATATTATTACCTTAGAATTCTCCTCTTAAGATTTTTCATTATGTTATCGTGTTAAGCTAACTGGAAAGATGGAGCGGACCAGATTTAATATGAGGATGCGTTATTCTGGTTCAACACCATCAGAGGAGTCAGTTTTAGATCTTGAAAGAAACTGTTACAGTCATTCTAATTTGCCTTCCTTAAGTCCACCAACACTTCAACCTTATGCATCAGCTGGACAGCATTGTGAGACCAGTGCTGCTTACTTTTCATGGCCTACCTCAAGCCGATTGAATGATGCTGCCGAAGAGAGGGCAAACTATTTCACTAATCTACAGAAAGGAGTCCTGCCTGAAACTCTTGGTCAATTGCCAAAAGGGCAGCAAGCGACTACATTGCTTGAACTGATGACTATAAGGGCATTTCATAGCAAGATTTTGCGGTGTTACAGTCTTGGAACAGCAATTGGGTTTCGTATTCGACGGGGTGTGTTAACTGACATACCAGCTATTCTTGTCTTTGTTGCCAGAAAGGTTCACAAGCAATGGCTCAGCCCGATACAGTGCTTACCCACTGCCTTAGAGGTCAAGAAAAAAATGTTAATTACAATTTAGTTATTCATTTAATTATTCAACAATTACTTTTTTTGGGATTATGGACACCTGTTCCATATGATTTTATTTGTGTTTTAAAGTACTCTTTTTAACTTAAGCAGGGGCCTGGAGGTGTATGGTGTGATGTGGATGTTGTAGAATTCTCATATTTTGGTGCACCTGAGCCAGCTCCCAAAGAACAATTGTACACAGAAATTGTAGATGATTTGCGTGGAGGTGATCCATGCATTGGCTCAGGTTCTCAGGTATGTTTAGGTTACCTTCCAAGCTTACCTTCTTTCTATGAACTAATATAGGGATGGGAAATTGGAAATGCACTAGTTTTAACCTTTTTTAACAAAGCATGGCCATCATCTTTTGTGGAATTTCTAATATACGACAATAGTTAATCAAAAAATTTGAACTAGTTATTTATAAATCCAGCCTTGATTGAGGTTTCTTATTCTTCTATCTCATGTACCATGTCATTTGTCATAGTATTGAATCAGTAAACCAAATTCAATGGCATATTGGGTTAAGTCGAGAGCCAGTAGCTTGAGCTTAGAACAGTCAAATGTTAATTAGCCTTCTCCTGTTAAGCTAGATTTGTTGAAGTGTCACACTTCTAAAATCTGGTACACTAGTGTTAGTTACTTAGGTAAATCCATATCTTATTCTATTACTGTGTACTGCATCACTGTTATTCCATCTTATTCTGGTATTCTTTTAAATCTGAATGCTGGTAAGTACTCTGTTTCTTTTTGCTTTTATTCAAGGTGGCAAGCCAGGAGACATATGGAACATTGGGTGCTATAGTAAGGAGCCAAACTGGCAATCGGCAAGTTGGTTTTCTCACAAATCGGCATGTTGCAGTTGACTTGGATTACCCAAATCAGAAGATGTTTCATCCCCTACCTCCTTCACTTGGACCTGGGGTATATCTTGGGGCAGTGGAGAGAGCTACCTCATTTATCACAGATGAGCTTTGGTATGGCATCTTTGCTGGAATTAACCCAGGTAAGAAGGATTCAAAAGTTGGTAATGTAACCTATTTTGCTTTTGGAGATGGATTCTATTACATTCTTTCTTCAGAGTGCTCATCAATCCAAATTTGAGTAGCTTGACTTTGTTACTTTGACCAATTGGTCAATGGATGTCTACTTAGCTAAGTTGATCAAGCTCTAATAAAGATATTCACAGATTAAATTTAAAGATTACAAGCAGAATATTTAATATTGCTGCATCAGTTTTTACTTAATCTATTGTTCTATAGCTTCACCTGTCCCAGCCTTTTTGATGCCTGGCAAAAACATCAAGATGGTGCCAAATCGCCTGTTTAACTCATGTATTGTATGCTTGCATGCGTTGTGCATGTCATCAGTAAACACTATAATGCTTTTACCTTGAGTCCTGTTTTCTCTTATTTGTATCTACTGATGATGCCTTAGGCACCATGGTTGGGGATGCACTCACCCTATTGGCCCATTTCAACCTTTTTTTTTCCCTAATCCTTTATCAAAGTCTGTCCCAACATTTTGGTAATTAACATAAAATTATGTGGTTTGATTATTTAATGGTAAGGCTATCTTTCCTTAGGCTTGCTAATACCAGAGACGGACACATTTTTTAAAAGAGAGAAGGAAAGGAAGGAAGAGAAACACTTATTCATCCGGATTTCATGTTATTGCAGAGACATTTGTGAGAGCAGATGGGGCATTCATTCCTTTTGCTGATGATTTTGACATGTGTACTGTTATTACATCCGTGAAAGGAGTAGGAGAGATTGGTAATGTTAAGATAATTGACTTGCAGTCCCCAATCAGTACACTTATTGGAAAGCAGGTGATGAAGGTTGGAAGAAGTTCTGGCTTGACTACTGGAACTGTATTGGCCTATGCCCTCGAGTACAATGATGAGAAAGGCATATGCTTCTTAACTGATTTTCTTGTTGTTGGTGAGAACCAACAAACATTTGACCTTGAAGGAGACAGTGGGAGCCTCATAATATTAAAAGGCGAGAATGGGGAGAAGCCACGGCCAATTGGGATCATATGGGGTGGTACTGCTAACCGAGGCCGACTTAAATTGAAAATTGGTCAACCTCCTGAGAATTGGACAAGTGGAGTTGATCTCGGACGTCTTCTCAAACTCCTTGAACTCGACCTCATTACAACTGATGAAGGGGTTAAAGGTTTGTGCTTTGGGGTTGCCTTTATTTGCTGGTTCCCCCTTCATTAGTACTTGCCAATCTTCAACTTTTTATTTGTAGTTGGTCTGCATATTCATTCTGATTTTCTGCGCTCGCGTTCCTTGCATATAATTAAAAACTTAAATTTGTGGGGTGCATAGACTAAGATAAACCTTTAAACTTGGATGCATTTATCATTTAGGGTTTGACAAACCCTCATAATATTAAAATATAACAGCATGTTTTCTCTTATTATTATTATTACTATTATTATGAGGGGAGCAATGCATTAAGGAAAACTGTGTGTTCATGGGTAATGTGTTGTGATGTATGTCAAAATGATGGTGAAGGACAATATTTTATAATATTAATACAGACAAATGAATACATATGATGTACATGCCTTAATTACAATTCTATGTAAATGTTATCTGTAGTGGCAGTACAAGAACAAAGGACTGCTTCGGCAACGGCAATTGGCTCGACTGTCGGTGACTCTTCCCCTCCTGATGGGATGCTTCCAAAGGAAAGACCTGAGGAGAAGTTTGAGTCACTGGGTCTCCAAATTCAGCATATCCCTTTAGAAGCTGAACCCAGCAGCTCACTGTCCTTGGTGGAAACAGAGTTTCATCTGGAAGATGGTATCAAGGCGGTTCCTAGTGTTGAACATCAATTTATACCAAGCTTCCTCGGAGGATCCCCACTACATAAAAAAAATCAGATGGGTAGAACAGTTTCTGAGAATCTCTCGTCACTGAGGAATGGCTGCGACGAAGATATTTGCTTTTCACTGCAGTTGGGCGACAACGAAGCCAAGAGAAGACGTTCAGGTGCTTCGACCAGTGCTGAAGAACCAAAATGAACTTGATTACTACTGGCTTAAGCTTGGCGAACCAACCCATTTTGCATGCCAGGAACCCTGTGTTAAGATTTGCTAACACCCTCTGAGGTATTATGTTGCAAGTATAAATTTCAAGCTCAAACAACGTGCATGTCTGGTTGTCTTGGGTACAAGTAAACATTTGTAATTTTGTTATAGAGCAATTGTGATCCAGCTCTCATGTTGAGCTTTTGAATATGAAGCTTTGGAGTATGGACATGCCATCATAATTTTGGATCCAATACTCCTTTTGTCACCTTAAATTTGTTTTTCTTATGATCTGCCGGTATGAACATCAATTTTTACATACGAAAGCGAAACCCCGAAGTGGAGAAATTTTGTAGTGGGGCAGTGTCACGTGGTGTTATTTTTTTGTGAATATTTGGTAAAGTATAAAATCATCTCGTTATAGTATTACTATTAGTTTTACTATTAGTAACTCCATCTATCAATATAAATTTTATTTCCCCCTAAAGGTCAAGGTAATAAAAAATAAAATAAAAAAACAAAGAAAAAGAACTACCAGCGCGAGACAAAATTTGCCACCCTGACCTCGTGAAAGTTGAAAACCCTTGTTAATATAGGCCTCTCGCAAACATTACATAAAACCACTCTCTCTCTCTCTCTCTCTCTCTCTCTCTCTGTGTCTTGGCCACTCACCACTCCACCAGGGATTTATCTAGGGTTTCGTCTCTCTGTCAGCCATGGCGAAGCCAAGCCAAGGCCGTCGCTCGCCACTTTCAGGCTCCGGTTCTGACTCATCGTCACGCTCCCGCTCGCGTTCGCGCTCCTTCTCAGGCACCGACTCGCGCTCCAGCTCTCGATCTCGCTCCAGGTCCTTCTCTTCCTCCTCTCCGTCCCGGAGTGGCAGCTCTCGTAGCCGAAGCCCTCCCTCCAAAAAAAGGTTCGATTTTTTTATTTTGCGTTTTAATTTGACACTCTAGGGTTTTGTATCTGCTGTTTGGTTTCCTAGAAAGTGCGGAGAACATTCATGAAGGAAATTTAACAATTTATATGAGCGTGGACATTTCGTCACAATGTATGGGTATATTTTCTAAGTTGGCAGGAATTAATTCTGGTTGAAATAAAAAATATTGAGACTTGAACACGAACTGCAATTATGAGTTGATTAATTGGAGAGGTTAGAGCAGCCTATCATGTAATTTTTATTTTTAACCATGCACCTTTGTTTTTTCTTTTTTAGTCTTTTTGTTGTGTTTTAGTTTAATTGTAGTTTAATTGCAGCATTTCGTATATTGAGGTTCGCATTAAGAAATTTTATTTTCTGATGCGAAGTAAACTGATTTATTTTTCAGTCCTGAAGTTCCTAGACGAGGTCGTTCTCCACCACCACAAGCTAAAAAGGCATCTCCACCCCCAAGGTATATAGTTTTAGCATTGTTTCAGTTTTTCCTTTAAAAATTTGCGGGTGGTTTAGTGTTTTTTGTGCTTATTAATTTTTTTGGGGGCACATAGAGAAGTAGAATTTGTTAGTCAATTTCCCCTTTTTTTCAACATAGCCTCTGTTTTTTTCTTTCTCTTTTTAGGGTACAATATTGAGAAATCGATATACTTAACATGAAGTTTGAAGTAAAAAAAGTTTGATTTTGATAGTATTTACTGGTCAAGGCTAGCATCCATTAGTTCTGAAAGGATCCGACGAAGACTTTGATTGGGGTCAAGTGGCTGTTCATGAACATATGTATTTTCATATGAGAATGTGACAGAAAATCCCGTTATGAAATTTGGTTGTGTTTAGAAAACCAGAGAGTTATTAACTCGAACTATGTTGGTACCAAAATTTAGGCCCTGTTTGGTATCCTACTCAAAAAAATAAACTAAAAAATTATAATTCTTTTTAAGAAGATGAGTTTTCAATTAGTGATTTTAAGATCTAAAAACTTGTTTGGTATTGAACTCCAAACTATTTTTAAGATCTAAAAAAAATTGAAATTAAAATCAGAAACCCTAAATTCCCAATTTGAAATTAACAAGAGAAAAGGAAAAATTTGTGAGCTTTCAATAGAAACCCTAGAAACCCAAAACATGAAAAAAGATTGATCAATTTTGGGTCGGGTAGTGGACGAAGGAGACCTTGACGGCCTTGACGGAGCTGCGAACAAGAGAGAGAGAGAATAAAACCTCACTTTTTTTGTTTTCAATAGTGGGGGTGCTTTTGAGTTTGTTTTGCGTTTGGGTTTTTAAAAATGGGCCTACCAAACGGGTTTTTTAAAGTTTTGAACTTAAAATCTGTTTTTGAGTTTATAAAATTGGATCCCAGTAGGATACCAAATGGGAGTTTTTACTACAATTGACATTTGGAAATGAGTTTTCTCTTATAAACTTTATTTTCAACTTGATACCCAGGGTCTTGTTGGTATTGAGTTCGGGCTGGACTTCATTATATTCTGATCATGTATTTGTCTGGAGTACATCCACTATGTTTCCATTCTCAACCCCATAAATTTCATTGTATGTGAATGCACATCTCACATCTGCTAACATGTTACATTTCAGGAAAGCTTCTCCAATTCGCGAGTCACTTATTCTTCACATTGACCAGCTTACGAGGAATGTGCATGAAGGCCATTTACGAGAAATATTTTGTATGTTTTCTTTTGTTTCGTTTAATATTTGAATTCTTTTTGCATCATGAGAATTATGTTGGTTTAATACACATAATTCTGGAGTCGATTCTAAGCAATTTCCATTTACGATTTTTTTGGACATCATAGTCTATAACGTTTGCCACATTGCGACAATTTAAAAATCTAGCCAGAGGAGTCCAATGAAAATTTTAAAATATTTATATGTGTTTCTCTACCTTATAAGATTCTCAGATCAGCCTCCAGGGCAATTTGAATTGTTATATCTTTTAAAGTCTTATTCTTTCCACCTCTTTAGAAAAAAAGTTATATTCTTTTTACTTTTTTTTGTTCTCTTTGTGCAAAATTTCCGAAGGACCTATTTCAAGCAACTGTAAAAAGTAGCTACTATGACTTCAAATTTAGGTACCATTTGTCTTACAAGTATCTTGTACTCTGCAGCACTGATCCTAAGCTCAGATTTGAATACCTATGTATGAAAAGTTGTTACATCATTAGCTCATATTTTTGTTGTTAAATGTTCAGATGAACTGGGTTGTAGGCAGTGTATCTCATCCAATTTTATATTTTTGTAGGTAACTTTGGTGATGTTGTCAAAGTGGAGCTGGCAATGGATCGTGCTGTAAGTCCGTACTAGATTTAATTCTTGATTTTGACATATCTTGCTTTAGTACAATTGTGTAAAACTGGTTTTTTTCTGCAGGTTAATCTTCCAAAAGGATTTGGATATGTTGAGTTCAAGACGAGAGCAGATGCTGAAAAAGCACAGTTATATATGGATGGCGTAAGTTTTCTTGAAGTGTGGGAGTAGAAATAGTTTCTCTAATATGACCATACATTGAACATGCTGTGTTTAAATACCTTGTTTCAGGCTCAAATTGATGGTAATGTAATCCGAGCGAGGTTTACATTACCTCAGCGTCAGAAGGGATCACCACCACCTAAGCCTGTTTCCACTGCTCCAAAGAGAGATGCTGTGAAAACTGATGGTGTCAATGCTGACAAAGATGGACCGAAGCGACCAAGGGAAGGTATAATCTTTATATTTGATACTTTTTATGACATTGCATATGTTTTTGTCTACTATGTGAATGATATGTATGACTTAATGATATCAGCTTCTCCTCGTCGGAGGCCACCTCTCTCACCACGAAGGAGATCCCCTGTAGCTCGCAGAGGTGGATCTCCAAGACGACCGCCAGATTCTCCACCACGTCGTCGTGCTGGCTCTCCTGCTCGTCGTGGTGATACTTCTCCAAGGAGGAGGCTTGCATCTCCATCTAGAGGTCGTTCTGGATCTCCGCCACCAAGGCGACGTTCCCCTGTTAGGTATGTGCGTCGACTAAATTTTGCATCTTTGCATGTTAAGTTGTTGAGTTTTTTTTATTAGTGTTTGACTAATTATCTTCTTGGTATGACTTCTCCAAGAAGGATACGTGGCAGTCCCATTCGTAGACGCTCTCCTTTTCCTCCAAGGCGCCGGTAATTTTTTATTTTTTTTTCTTTGGTACTTCAAACTCTTCACAAATTAGGGGCATAAAAAATGAAGCTATCGCTTTTCATAGACCATGAATTTCTGTGGAATTAAAAAAGACATACTACTTCTGGTCATATTTTACTGGTTCTTCCAGTGGACAATGTTAGTGAATGCATATTGATGCCATCGTAACAAAAGTATTTCTTCCAACAGTTTTGTATGTTATCACCTTGCAGATAAAGTTCTGGAATGTATTTATCAAAAGCAATGGGAAGCAAAGATTGTCGAAGCTCAAATAATTTTTGTAAATGAAAAGAACCGAATGAGTAACATAGATGACCCCTTTAGGTTTTTTTGATAAGTAGGACAGCTCCTAAAAACCAATGCTTTCAGCATGGAATTTACATGCACAGCCATGCACCACTTTTTAATTCTAATCTAGGTGGCTCGTCATGAATTGCAACGAAGATTGATGTCACTATATCAAGTGTGCTTATAAATACGAGTTTGTTAGGCTGATTTTATTTTCTTGGGTTATTTTGAGTCTACACTTTGGGTTTAATCTTATAAAAATATTTAATTCTTCAGTTCACCTCCTAGACGGGTTCGTAGTCCTCCCAGAAGGTCTCCAATCAATCGTAGGCGTAGCCGGTCTCCTAATCGTAGGCTTGCTCGATCACGATCAAGGTCAATCTCGCCGCGGAGGTATCATCTAAATATCCAAGTCTTATGAAGTCTAGCTTTTTGTTTGAACTAAATCATTGTTTATTATTATTATTTTTTATAATTTCATTTCGGGATTGTTCTTTACCATTTTTCATGTTCTCAATTTTTTGAAGTTATTAAATTCATTGAGTTCAGATATTTATAATATATATTCATATTTTGATGCAAATAGTGTTTGACATGATGTGTTGATGTTTCTTCCTTGAGGAGGGCAGTGGTTTGTGGTTGAGACATTCAGTTGATTATGTCAACCATTTCTTTAACCTATTTTAGGTCTTTGGTAGTTGTAATCTCTCTCTCTGGGCGATTGAGTAGGGTATGAAACATATGATGAGTGTGCATGTGCTCATTAGTTGTGTCGAATACAGAACTTTATTATGTTGAATGAATAATGGATGCATAAAGTAAATCTGGTCAGTCATGTAGTCATATGGATTACTTTAAACTCCTGGTATCTCGATGTGTATTGTTTTCTATATATGTTTTGATAATTATCTACTATGTACTATTTTTTGCCCCTTTTTAGATGAGTTAATGTTTTTCATTATATTGCCCCTTTCTGGTATCTCGATGTGTCTGTTATGTTATTTTGAAGGAATAGAATATGCTTGATATCTTGTTTAGTTTTTTAAATTACTGACTTTCCCTCATTAATTTCCTGTCATAAGTTTGTTATTACTCTGGAGTCTAAGATGCCTGCATTTTTTTGTTGCTTGTCTTTGACAGAGGTCGAGGGCCACCTACTAGACGTGGGAGGTCGTCATCATACTCTGGATCACCTAGTCCAAGGAAGGTTTGTGTTTGTTAGTTTGTTAGTTTGTTTAGATAGAGAGTTTAGCTTCTGGGATACCGTGCATGGCTTAATACTTGCAATCTTACAGGTACCCCGAAAGATATCTCGTAGTCCAAGAAGGTAATGTTTTTTATCAATTTGTTTTTAAAGTTTTGATCTTAATGAGTTTCACTCCATGTTTGTTCGAATCTATTTTAGGATCTCACCGTCACATAAATTTGCTTGTATTTGCCTATGTCCTTTCATCTTTATTATATTTTATTTGTCATGAATATCTATAAATGTCTTATTTGTAATCTGTAAACGTCTGAGCATTTTTCTATAGTTTCATTGGATAACCTGTTTATCTAATCTGACGTAAACACTCAATTGAGCTACGAAATTTATGCTTAGTACTTGTTTTTTAACTTTAAAAAATTCCCATGTTTCTGGGGGACTGGTGGGTTGTTTGGTTTTTAAAAGATCTGGTACTTGGCTTTAGCTTGTTCTGATGGTGGAGGGTGTTTTATGCAGGTCTTTGAGGAGAAGAAGCAGTAGCAAGAGCAGCAGCAGCAGTTCACCTCCTCGTAAGCCATAGGTAAGTACTCTCTCTCCCCATAAATCTTATTTTGGTTTCATTGATAAAAATTCATATCTAATCGTATTGAAAACACAGTTGGGCTACGTTATTTAGATCTAATACCCATTCTTATGCAGTAGCTTAAAAAATATAGCTCATGATTTCTGCGGGCTAGGTGGATTGTTGGTGATTGGTTTTAGCTTGTTCTAATGGGAGGGTGCTTGTTGTAGGTCTTTACGAGAAACAAGCAGTAGCTGTTCCCCCTCCCTCTTGCACTCAGCAGCCATGGATATGTAATATCAAGATTCGCTAGAGTTACTGATATTCTCGGAGTTCATATTTCTTTTTGTATTGATGTTCCCCCTCCCTCTTGCACTCAGTAGCCATGGATATGTAGTATCAAGATTCGCTGGAGTAACTGATGTTCTCGGCGTTCATGTTTCTTTTCGCGTTGATTACGAGCCAACAGGGTGCAGTTGTGCTATTTTGAGCTAGTCTTTTAGTTGTTTAACTTGTTTATTTCCATGACTGTATCCACATAATGTGGGAACGAAGTATGATGCTTGATTGAACATTGGTAAAAATCTATTGTATAAACAGGTGTATGATATGAATTTTTTTTTTAAAGCAAGGTGGTGTCAAGAATTGCATGGTTGAATTCTCCAAAATTTTCCATCCCATTAAAATTGAGGCAATCTGATTGAGTGAAAGGAGAGTGATTGTCCTCTGTTTTTCCCATCGTTGGTCAAACTGTGCCAATATTATGGTGACTTCAAAAAATAAAAACATTAAAGTTATTTGCTGCATTAGTTTTAGCCTTCAGTTCCCGAAAGATGTAAGTTAACCTTGAAGCTACAAGTGAAAACTCGTTTTGTTGTATAGCATTTCTCATAGGGGAATGCTAGCAACTCTCTCTAAGGTTAAAGGTCTAAAAGAGAAGGTTGAATACTAGGAACCTTATCTCTAGGGTAATGAGACTGACATATGTTATGAGAAAAAGTGAAGAGGTCCAAAGGAGAAGGTTACTAGTATTCCTCTTTGAAATATAGAATATGGCTTAACTTTTTGAAGAAAAAGAACGTGGCCATGAACCTACTAGTTATTATGGATCCTTCATGACCGTCGAAACATTGATTGGACAGGTCGTGATTTTAGCTACTAAGAATTTAAAACTGTCATGAACACAAACTGATATATATGCCTTGCGAATGATTGCACGTATTTAAAATTTATCTTAATATCTCGTACACGATGATGAACTGCGTTTTAGAAAAAATAGAAAGAAAAAAGGGAAGTTTATTAGGAATGTAGTTACTACATTTTGACCTAAAATTATTTTTCTTTTCTTGTTCTTTAACAAAAAATAAATAAAGAAGAAAACCCGATTTTCTTTAAACCAAAATAAAGAAAAAACGAAAGGATAAATTGGGCTGATCAGGAGGACAGTGTAGAGTGGTGGAGTTGCGTAAAACCCAACCCAAAGCCCAAAGTTCCCACTGCTATCTATCTAGCGAGTGTATTTTCTCTAAAATTCTGTGCAACCGTACCAATTGAGCTACAATGGCAGTGCTCATTACGCTGTCTTTCGCCGGAGCTGGCCCCGACTACCGATTCGATGCCCTCAAGAAACTGGGTCGACTTGAACCGAAGCTCTGTCAAAGTTCCACCAAGCCTTTTTCTCATAAATGGTTCCACTGCAAGTGTTTTTGGCAAGAACCCAGAAGCAAGAACCTATCTTTGAAGTCAAGGGAATTGCGAACATTGCGTTTGGCTCGTGGGAAAGAAGCTGAAGATAGTTTCTCTTCGGTACGTTATTTCTTCTTTCTGTTGTCAAATTCATGTGAGCTGGTTTTGGTTTCGAATTGTGTAGCTGTTTTGTTCCAAAAAGAACAAAGTTATGAAACAAGTTTTGGTTTGGTGTTGTATTAGAATGAATATTTGAAGCTTATCTTTTAGATGCTCTACTCAAGTAAAAGCCACAATGATTTTCCATTCTGCCTTCGATATCTTTAATTGTATTTGAATCTGTCATACAAACACTTATGAATTTCACTTGTGGTCTCACTGAAATTCCTTAATATAGATGGCTCCGTTTTCTCCTTTTAGACTTAGTATATAAAAAGCTTCTTGGTGAAAACCTGGCTGAGAAAATATCTCCTTTTGTTCCTTGTGCGTGAGACCTTGACTTCTTATCTGCTTGTTGAGGGAGTCAAAGGGTATGGTCATCTCTCTTCCAATTTTGGCCAGTTTTAGCTTTCCGCTACGAGTTGGTCCATGCCAAATTTACCTAAAGGAAAAGAAAAAAAAAAGTTGTAAGCGATTTTTACAGGATCTTGTCAAATGCGTTTTGTCAGTCTGAACCTTGACAGCTTATTGCTAATCAATGACATATTGCAGAATGTAAGTGAAGATACCGACGATATGTTTGACGACTTGTTTGATAGATATGGAAAAGTGGTATATCAAAGCAACGATAGGATGTCTCCTAGCATAGAACTTGATGACGATGCTGAAAGCTTATCATGTAAGTTCATATCACAATCAATTTGAGCAAAGACTCTTTGCAGTGTGACAGATGTAGATTTTATTTTGTTTTTGTTTTCCTCTCAATTTTGACCATAATGTTGCGTAGGTGTTGATATAAATATTCTTTCCAGTTTTCATGTATTACTCTTTGGCCGTATGAAACCAAACTTTCAAAGTGCTTGATATGCTTACTGTATGCAACTTATTAATAATCTCCTGCAATCTCTTTAGTTGCTGTAGAAGTGGCCAGTGTTGCAAATGATGTAAAAGCAGGAGACATAAAGGTCCTATTTGTGAAGCCTCTTGTGTATTGGACTCGGTTTTTTATTATTGCCACGGCATTTTCTCGTCCGCAAATTGACGCAATTGGGTATGCGCTTCACATTTAAGTTTATGATTGTTTATGTTCGATTTGCATGCTAAATTATGAGACAGACTTGGAAGCAATATTTGATAGACTTTTTATGCCGCAATTTAGGTCCAGGATAAGAGATCTGGCAGAGACAAAGTATGGAAGAGTTCCATCTGGGGACTCAAAACCCAACTCATGGACCCTGTTGGACTTTGGTATGTATGATTCCTTTACAATGTAGTGAAAATTATTAATTGTGGATTAGTTTGGAACAAACTTATCCTCACAGTTATGCATTTGTGATTGGGAATATGGGATGTGTGACCCTTCACTCAATTTAGATATACATTGATGAAGATTCTAATATATGACCTGCCCTTGTTCTTTCTTTTTATTATCTTGTATATTGCTAATCTACCCATGGTTATCGGCAACTGGGATGTGGCACCGTTGTCTGAAATTGTCATTCATGGTGCTAATATGAATCAATTCATATTATTTGATTGATGCGGGAGCAACTATTTCCATATGGTTGTATCCAAGCCGGCTATAGGTTTCTTAGATGATCCGTTTGACTCACTCAGATGAAACTTGTTATGCATCCTAGCTAGTCAAAATTTTCTTTTCTTTAAGTAAATTTCAGGTTAGTTTTGTTAAAAATTTCCTTCAAATTTCTAGCTGCAATTGGACGACATTGACAACTTGACTTTGCAAACTTGATGTTCACTTAATTATGGTCAACTGGGATGATACCTGTGTACTTTGATCCACGTATAAGGCTTTTTAATCTTTAGGACTCGTATCTTGGTTGTCATACCGAAGCAAACCAACCTATTGACGCTGGGGTCCTTGAGAATTATAATGTTGTCAATACCAGGAATTTAACTCTCTCTCTCTCGCACAAATAGGGGTCTAGCAATATGCAGTTGGTGTGTCTTTCTAGAAATTTTTAAACCTGCATGCTGAAAAGTTCTTTAAGAATTCTTGATCTTACACGAAATTCTTGACGTGTGTCTTAATTCCAGGTGATGTTGTTATTCATATATTTCTTCCGCCACAGCGAGCTTTCTACAACTTGGAAGAATTCTATGCTAATGCTACGCCCGTTGAATTGCCTTTTGAAAACCAGCCACCATTTCGAGGCTGAGAAAGGCCTTTAATTTGGCCGACAAATCAAACTGAGTGCTAATGGGTGCATTGGATGGCTAGAGCGGCTCTTTGAACCTCTGCCAGTTTTGGACTCTTGTTCTCCTGTCTCACTTGCAGAGTGACAGAATGGTACTGAACACTGTTTCTGGGCCAGCCTGATATTGCTTTGGATGCCATTATGAGAGGAGCAATAGGCACGGTGTAATTGTGCAAGCATCAATGCGACTTTACATTCTAGTTATGGTTCTAAGGAGTGCTTCTGTTTCCTCAGGGCTTCGAAAAGGCCCGAGGCTTGTATATGTAATTGACCATGTTAAGAATCTTCAAACACTGAAAGTCAGTGTCATTTTACATATTTATTTATTTACGGTGATATATAAGTAGCATTTTCATCTAACCCTATGTGTTGATCACCCTGTAGTTTTCCTGTTAAATTTGGATATCAAGAAAAATGATATCCTTAAGACGCATGCCACATGCATCTGTATATGAACCAATGAAAACTTAGTTTGGTATGAAAATTCTGCAAAAGAGTTTATTGATCTCCAAGATATTTAATACTTTCCTTCTTAAGGACATTCAATTTTAACTGGTATTTCCATATTCTTATTGTGCTCTGCCATTAAACTGACCTGTGGATCAGGGAAGCTGTATGTATACAACAACAAATAAATAAAAAAGTACATGATAAATTTACAGCAAGATTCTGTTGCTTTCTCTCTTTATTGATCTATAACTCACACTTCCTGCCTCTGTGGAAAGCATTCGAAATTCGAATAAACACTGTAGTATTACAGCATCAAAACCAACATGATATGGGAGGTGCAAATGAAATTCCAAAATCCCCCTCCACTTCTATCCATATGATCCTCAGCTCTTCACTGGTTCCATTGCCTTTTTAGAGTGCAGCACAATTGATATAAGAGCAGATGAAGGTTCCAGATACATCTTGTTCACTTTGTCAACTATTGGAATGAAGGAACATAAACTTTTCTCAAGAATGTCTATTTACAAAACAGAAAACTGGAGTATGAGTAACGATTGTCATGCTATGAGAATCACATGTGAAGGAGGACCACATGCTTCTGGTGGCCATGTATTGGAAATTACAGGTACTAAAGGTCGGCCAGGGAAGGCAAGCCGAAAAGTTCCTGCAGAAGAAGATGATGAATATTAGTTCACATAGTAACCATCAGTGGAAATAGGGAAAGGACAAAGGTGCAACCCAAATGACCTA